ACAATAATCATTACCACATAACTCCCTGAATCTTGCATACCTGGAAAGACGATACGCTATTCACACTAAGACGGCAGTTAATGACACACCGTAATCATTTAATGCATAGAAAATGTTATATTAATATGCATCATACGCATAAACGAACAAGCATATCAGTTCATGCATTAAAGTATAAATAAACAGAATTATGCATAAACAACCATACAGTTTAATGATGTTTGTTGCTGTGGGGATTTAATTTCTGACAGTAAACTGCCTTCAGCTTCCCAGCACCATCCATCCTTATGATATGTCCCATCGCCTTCAGCAACACATCATCACTCAACTCACAATCCTTTATCTTCTCTAGCAGCTCAACGATCAGTTCGTCACCACCTATCATCTCATATCCCAGAACAAACAGCAAATCACGATTGCATGAATCAACACTTATCGTATTGTACAACTGGATAAAGCGCACTAATGAACAGTTCCTGATACGATTATAATCTCTGTCTCTTACCCACCTTACAAATGAACCCTTTACAACAACGGTATTTTCATATGCACACAGCAGCTCAAAAACTTGTTCGTTGTTTTCCATCGCGTTTGCGTAAAACTGCAGAACATAGTTAGATTGGTTTGTCATCGTTAATATCTGTGGAAGAGCATCGATTGGAAGCCTGTTTAGGTAGGATAACGCAGAAAATGATGAAATATGGATCAGCGAAAGGATGCTCTGCCAATCCTCTGTTCGTGTAATAAGACCATCTACGTACGTCATAAATTGCTTTTCATCGGAGAGGTGTAAAACCAAGAGGTTGATGATATGGTTGTTGGTAAGACACGGAGTATCACGTGCGTTAAGAACATCGCTTAGGGTGCATGATGAGAACGAGAAAGGAAGAACATGCCTGTGATCTGCTCCTGTTCGTACATTCTCATCACTTTATAGTACCTTTGCATCCTTACGGCTCTTTAACTTGTTCTTGCTGTTTGAGGCCTTTTCGCAGTCCCTACCAGAACGGTGTGCATTCTCTTCACAATGTGCAACGTAGTGTACACCTCTTCCACGACTCCTACCTCGCGCTACGCTCTTCATCATCAGGTAGAATGTCCTCCCTCAACAGATCAACACCATCTCCACACTCCCAGAAATATTCGTTTATCCAAACTTTCAATCTCCTGTAGAACACGTGTCCATCCTTATTTTGGATAAGATCAATCATTGCATGCACATACAGTCCATCACTATCGTTCAGAGTAATAGCATTTTTTATGGACTTAAAAGGATCCTTGTGCCAGTTGTACAGATAGGGTATTCGATCGGTATGCAAGTCTGGTGGTGTAATGGTTGGTCTCAACATGGGAACGAAATGCTACGGTGTTTATTTATAATTAAGAAATGTTTGACAGCTCTGATCAGGACAATCTTGGTCCGAAATAGTTAAAATCATCTGATTATTACGGATATCAACTATGAAAAGGTGCAATAGAATTGTGGTACTCTTACATAGGGATACGTAAAAAACTTTTAGTTAAGCCTTCACAGTGTCAGTGGATGCATTGTAAAAGTTTTCATAAGACGTATCATGCCGCTGAAATATACCTTACGATATTGACATATGAGATCACCGTACAATAAGTGCTTGAATCTGTCATAGAGGATGTGTGGATACCACAATGGATAAAATACACAACATTATTGAACCTGACTACAATAATAAAAGATAATTTATATGTAATCCACTGCAGAATAGTAAATGTCACTTAAATAGGTTGCTTTATTTGATGCAAACATGAAGGAGATGAAGAAACAATCATAAAAATTTATGATTCTTTTTGTGTTAGCTTTATGATCTGTATTGTAGTTACGGTACGTGGATGATGTGGTACATGTTTGGTATGACATTCAAGACTGATTTGGCATGCTGCAATGGATGCTTAAAGTACAGGATGATTGCTGCATAATGCACAACAATGTTTTGGTATCAACGTATACTCAAGCTCATTTTGACTACATTCTTCTTTTTGGTGTATTTTACACTTTTTAACTTATCTTGTGACGTATAGCCTCTCACAGTTTCTTAGCTTGCTTAAACACATCAAGTGATTTTTTGATCGAATCTCTTCATATTTCAGTGGTAAGTGTTTCATAACCACTTTTTCTCTTGTTTTATTAAAAACTGGTTTCGTTGCTTATATCTGTTCAGATAGGGAAATGAATTTCCACTCATATCGCATCTTTACCTATCTTTTCTGCTGCGAATAAAAAGAATCGATCAGCGAGTAGCGGATGACAATCTTGGTAAAACAATCTTAGCAGGTTATATGGCAGCTTGCGTTACAATAAATGTATTTTATCCCATTGGTTGTTTGTAAGTAGATTGTTCATGCCGGTACTAGTCATTGGAAGTTTAAAACGTAAAAACAGAATAACCACATATTTAGTCGCATACCCCAATTACAACATTCATTTATTTATATATTACGATATGACCAAGAACTTGATAGTTTGGGTTGCTCGCATTTTCACAAAATAAGAAGTATACAACAGCATGTTTTGAAATTAACGCAGGAAGGCATACGAACAAATGTGTTCTCCAAATAGATCAAAATCTATATTGCAGTTAAACGAGTCATTTTAGAGCAAATTATTGACATGATTCACGGAATATCAGATCATGATGTATTGTGTTCCAAACAATGAAGTTCTGATACCCACCACTGAAACTACAATATTAACTTATACCCATTGATTAACATTAGTGAGTTATCGATTATACGAAATACTCGTTTGATGCTGTTGGCGAAGCGCTAATACTCACAAGAAAACATGAACTGTCTGGAGAAAAACAGTGTTTTTTATAGCGATTGCAGACTAACAGAGAACGTTGTCATGAAAGGAATGAATGTGATGTATAAAAACGATTAGTAAAATGCATTGATAATGATGTCACATCGGTGTATAGAATTGAACACAGAACATGTGAGCATCGAACTAGTATGGGCCAGTTATTAACAAGTAATTTTTGAGCAAAGGCGTGGAAATTTAGAGACAGTAAAAATACCAGATAACGAACTACATCTCAGAGAAGAGTCTTAATGGGAGCTGTACGACCATGGACAGCCAGTAATGTTGATAATATGATCAATGACTGGCAATTCCAAGATATCATACTCGATATGAATACATTCATGGTAGGGATGGTAATACATACAAATTATTAAATTTTATTCCTGGCTCAGGAACTGCTATCAAGAATTTGACTACTATACCCAGCTCGAAAAGGAGGCAATCATGCATTTTGAAATCTCGTTTCGGAAAGCGAACTTGTGAATATCACACAGTTGATGACAATGCCGAAGTATTGTTCTGGCATATTCAATACACAATGTCAAACAGAAAGAATATGAGCACTGCATCTAACGAAATACGATCGTCATTCAGACCATAGAGAGTACAGTTCTTAGTTTTTTCCTTTTCATGATGACAACACGTTTCGTAAAGATAATTTTAGACCGAATAGAAATTGTTTCTCAAAATCTGTATTTCATGTAGATGACATCATATACGTGATCTTGTATAATATGCGTGTATACGGGATTCATATAGTAAAGCGAATATAAACGGTAGCATCAAAAATATGTCACTAGGGTCACGAATTATAAATATGTCTCCAATTATCCTGTTGATGAAGCATGATATACTAGATGTTACTGATCGGCTGTTACTCGTTGAAGACCAACTATAAGAAGCGTGAAGCGTGGCAAAATGATTCTGAGCAGTGCGACATTCTAGTCAGGTCTCTATATTTGACATGGACATGAAATATTTGAGTGATATTCAATGTGTGTTATTATAGTCCTGTTCTTATGCACTACGACGACAATGATGTCGCTTTTATTGGTATCCTATTGTTAAAATTAGCTTTTTGTGTTAACAACACAACGATGACTCAATTAATAGTATAGATAACTAAACAGGACAGTCAATATAGTGAAAAATATGGACATAGAGTTGAAAGAAAAGTAATGAGTGTCTAGGGGAAAAGTTTGTGAGAGAAGATAGAACTAAATTTATGCATTGTTGCAACCAAAATATAATGTATGGTCAGCAAAAATATTCAGGCGGAAACAATCAAGGATTTGTTCAAAACTGTCGACTTTCTCATAAAAGGATGCTACAGAATATAATTCATATGCACAGTAAACCTGCAGCATGTTAAGCCGACTGATAGACGATACGTCAAGCTTTGATTTTAGTTTTAATTATAATTTTCACTAAATATAATATTTATCCCCTAATACTAACTATAGCCAAGTAAACACACTTTTCTGGTCTGCTAGGATTAGCCATGGCTACAAGCCTTATGTTTATAGACCATATCATTACCAGATTGCACATATAACACGCATGAATATTTACAAGAGCAAATTGCATTGTCACAATTTCATTGCTTGCAACTGACATTGATACTGCAAGGGCTTTAAATTACCCAATATTGAGTTCATATCGATTCACTTCAATCAACATTTATTGCTGAAGCGATCAGACCATCCTTATTCTAGTACATATCATAGGTTGCGCCAATTTATGGCGGTTATTATAGCGTATATGTAAGTTCAAAGAGATCTTCTTATAACATTACCAGTGTTTATGCTGCCGTTAGATATTATTGTCATAGTATATGGTATCTCATTATTCTTGTGTGTGTTAAATGCAAAAAAGTATCATAACTCGCATGTCAGGTGAAACAAAGACTCATTTAATAGCAAAATATCGGTAGTGTATTTGTTTTGGATCATTTCGGAATTTTTATCTTCACATAATGGTTAATTCGGATAGCATGACATCGTTGGTAGGAATATCATCAGCAATGCAACTTATGCAGTTCAATAGAACTTTTAAGCACCCAAGGTAGTGGCGATCGTATTAATGATCTTGGAAAATATTTGTATGTGGTTCATCGAGAGTTGATGCAACGTAGTAACGATTTGGAAGGAAGATGTCTTAAAATATTGTGTAACAACTGAATAATAACTAGCAAAGGGTATCAGAGGACTCAAAATTTGGACATTTTGGAAAACGTAGACCGGGAAAAACGTAAAGCAAACATTGAAATATCGGTCATTGACAAAATTTACTCATGGATGTGAAATGCAGCACTGCAGATAGCAGATTATGGGTTATTGATGGCTCTTATTCACGCAGAAAACTACCAATAAATTGCTAGATTCGTTTGTTGATAACATATGCTGATATCTATCAACATGATTGGTTAATATGCGTGAAATACTAACTAACTAATCGAAAAAGCTGAGAACAGAATCGATGACATTATCAAATTTGGAAACTAAATAGAATAATATTCGTGCACAGCTGAGAAAGCCATTAAATTGATAAATACAGGTCTGGAACTCGTCTATAGAACAAACGATGCCATAGAAAAGCAGGAATTTATCAGATATGCACAATGAACATTTAAAGGACCAATTAGTTGTTCACAAGTAGTCTGGGTTCAAATTTGAGTGTCATTTATCTGGAAATGTAGGTTTAACAAGGAGTTGTCAGGATTGTTGCATCAATGGGATATGCTAGCAGGGATATGATCGACAAACGGTAAGTTCCAACCTGTTGATGGGCTCATGTTGTAGTGAATGGCAACTCTGATCATATGCGAACCGTTTCACTGTTCGACTAACGTTCAAACATGTGCCGATCGCGATGTCTCTACTGTGCGAATACATGTGTAAAACACAATTTATTCGATGTTTTATAACTGATTACAAACGATTGATTCATTGCTGAGTATGACCGATACATATGTTGCAATGTATCGTAAATCAATGATGTTGTGTTTCTTGCTTTATCGCGGTACTACATTGATACAAAGCAAAAATTTAAGCATTGAGAATATTTAGCCCTTTAAATACTTGTTGAGCACATAAGCGCTTAAACGATCGCTCTATGATAATGTAGCGAAGCCTAAAAATTTTATCGGTACTAATTTTTAACTACAAACTTCATGTATATGAGTTGTTAACTCGTTTCAATGACTATCCAACAGTGCATATCAATACTTTTGGGCGAACTATGGAACAATACAGGCGGATATTTTTTATCTGTCCAGTTTTCGATCTGCAATATCCACTTCATAAAATAATGTTTAAAAGAGAAAAAAGATCTGCAAAACTTCATTTACAACAGGTTCTTGTGCAATATCCAAATTAAAATACATTTGACAACAAGTATGGAGACAAAGTCGCCTCCAACGATAACCTGCAGAAGCGAAGTTTGGGGTAGTTTTCTTTGGGATACAAGAATACAACCAGAATGTGGATTTAACATTGGCATGAAATGCAAAACAAATCGTGTTAACAGTGTAATAATTGCAGCTTTGATTTATGCATCGAGTTATGTGATGCCATCTTTCGGTTTTCTTTTTATACCTGCTATTGGATTTCACGTACATCTTTGGTGCATTATACTTTCTCATAACATGACGAGCCGTGTATTTCTGTTTAATTCATTACAACTGATGTATTTGTAGCCTTTATCTTGAGATTTGAATGTGGTTACTAATTCGTCGTGTATGTTCAC